CCAGAGAGCTGTGAAGTAATGCAGGTGACCAGCGGTTCTCTGTGCCCATCGCTCCAAGGCCAGTGACACGATCACTGTGGCCAGTCAGATGTGCAATACCCGCGGCCGGCTCGGTTACTAAACTCACGAGCCGCGCCGTCAACAAGCTCAAATTGTGGTTGGTAACTATATCGGTCTTTGGCCTTGGTGTTCAGAGGATGTCACAACAGTGCTGTGCTGCAAAACGTCCAAAACGAGACCGTTTTAAATTAAAGCTCACGATGAGTACGTAGGTGGTCATAAACAATCGCGTGGCCTTCTCCGTTACGCTCTGAAATTAGCGGCATGATTTAGCCGTTGCATGAGCCCATTTTCGCTAGCTGTTGCAAGAATCTGTTCCAGCATATGCGTGGGATGTTGTGTGACAGCACCAACTGGAAAAAACAGTTTTGAAAATTCATGTTAAAACATCTCGTACATGGCTATTATATCTCAGCTGACTTCCCCTAATGGACGCAAGCGAGTGTTCTAGCCTAGCTTGCTATTGCGCAGGTGTCTTCTGCAAAAATGCACCGCACCACTCCCCTGCCCCCTTCCACCACGTCCCTTCACCCTCTGAGCGCTGCAGACGGGTAGGATGAGCTGCATTTTGTCTCTGCCGGTTTGACTGCAATCAGCCGACCTTGGGAGGCCTGTGTTCCCTCTCGGCAGCTACTGTCACCGCTTTACCTCCAGCAGCACACGGCAGTGCAACCCTGCAGTCACCACCGCTGGCCCCACAGCCCTGCACTCAGCACAGACGGCCGGCCGGCAGCGGCGGTGATAGTTGTTTCGTCCGGACAGCGGTCGGAGCCGGTGGCAGTGCGCGTTTTTTCCACGGCAAAAAGCCGCTTGCCTTGGTGACGACTTACACCCCGTCTACTGGAGATTATCTGCCGACGTTTGAGCCGCGGTTGAGACTGCACTAGAGGTGGCTCTTGAGCCCAGAGGCAAGCTAAAGGCATCCCCATCAGCCATGGAAATTTTGCGACGCAAAAGAAGCTCAGGAGTGCTTGTCGTCCATGTTATAAAAAAAAAACGTTCATTTCGTTGAACAAACAACAGAGAACTGGGCATTATTATGATGAGCAGGGATATATTATTCCACCCCATGCCTCTTTTATAATATGTCAGACTTATGACTGCTTATGAAAAACACAACTATTTTGGGATACTCCATCTCAGAACAGCAGCCTCCCGAGAAGCTGCACTATAGTACAACCAGCGCCTGGCGACTTCAGCGCCGCGCAGCTCACTATCCCGGAGACTGCAGTGCCGAACAAGTGACAACCACCAATAACGGCGGTAACTGGAGCGGGCCGGGGCGGTACCCCGGCGCGGGCCAGGACCGGCGTCCCACGTCCCAGCCGGTAACAAATGACTTCAGTAGCGGCACGCAGTGATTAGCGCGGCCGGCGGGTAAACGGTAATAGTTACCACAGCGCCGGACCAATTACCAGGGGACCACCGCGGCGGAACCGCTCCCGATTCGGAGCAGAGATAGAAAAAAATCATCACCAACGGTCAGCTCTCGGCTCGCTATGTATCTTCCTGGGGATTAAGGGGCCCAGTGTGAAGTACCGCTATAAGCCGCCGAAACGGGGTGACTTATTAATCCTAAGGTCCAATCGACCGGAGCAGCACGGTGCCTGTCCGTGTGATCCATTTCCTCTGACCACCGTCTCTGATCAGTGAACCGGATAGGCAGAGAGCGCTGCAGGGTCCGGTGGGTGCAAATACAGGCCGAGAGGCAGCGGCGCACTGCAGGGAGCGGGGTGTGTGTGTGTAACCGGAGAGCGCCAGAGCCGAGTGGGTGGGTATCGGTTTGATCGGAGTCTGTTGACTGAATACCAGCCACCGGCCGGCCCGTGGGTAACGGTGCCGGTGGAGCCGGAGCGGCCCGGCCCGCTCAGCGCGCCCAGCCGACCGGCTCGGCAGACCGATGGACGGCATACTAATGCCCGGCCCGCAGAGACGGCTCGGACCGCAGCGCGAGCTGGCCCATTTTCTGGGCGGCCGGCGCGCGCGCCAAGTGCAAGTACCACCCCGGCCGTGCGCGAGACACGATCACGACGACCGGTCGTGGCGCCGCCGCCGGTCGGTGAGAGGGTACGGCGGACTGAGCCGGAGCCGGGGCCGCCAAAGCAGCGGTCACGGCCAGCATTGCTGATTAATGGTGCACGTATTACGACTGGTCGTAACAGAGACCATGATGAAAGCGGCTACAAATTATTCAATCAGTGCCGTTGTAATGGAAATATATCGTTCAGTCTTTATATCGAAACATGATATGCAGGTTATCCCAGAGCTAAAATGTTAGAAATGAGAAGTGTCTGGGAGAAAAAATCCAGACCAAAACGGCTAATTGTCTCATATTTGCAAGTATACTACTGAAGCCGGTTGATAATTTTACTTGTCTGAATCCTCCTCATGTTCAAGTGTATAAAGTCTGAGAGCAGATATATCCAGGACGAATTTAATCCATGACAGACCAAAGGCTCATCCTCAAAACCTGACGAGGCATCACGTGCAGCTTCATCGGGATTAGCGTCACCAGAAACGGATAACGCCTGTCTTCCGAAAACAGCGGCCGTCTCCGCTGACACCGTTTGGTGGACGTTACCCAAATCCGGCGCCGGCCGGGTTAGGATGCACATAAAACCTACTGGCTGACTGGCCCTTTGACCCGGCCCTGCCGAAAATGGCCGCCCCGGACGGCTGTTTGGTATCGTAGAGCCGCCACAGTGCCGCTCAATGTTGTACGGTGCTGCTCAGAGAGGAAGTGTAATGGCAGGGAACGGCTCCGTTCACCGGCTCTCTGAGTACCGCGCCGTCAGAGCCCGTCTCCGGAGAGGAGAGCCGCCGTCCCGCGGCACTCCCACGCTATTCGAGCATGCGTGGCACGCCGAGACAGCCTGGATCCATCTGCCGCTGAGAGACGGCGGCGCCGTATGAGAGATCACTCCCCACCGACGGACCACTCGTAAAACTCTAGTGGGCCAAAAACCGCCGCGAGTGAGCCGTCTGTGTCTGGCGTGGCCCCAAGAGGCCGTAGTGGTCCACTTTCGGGAGCGAGTAGCTCGCCGAGACGGCCGATTCTGAACTGATGCTCGGCTGTCACTGAGCCGATTCAGGTCTGTGGATGCGCCTCAGTTTACGGTCGCCGCCACGTCCGATACCGGACCGCTGCTCCGCGAGGGCAGAGCCATCAATAGCCGAGGAATGTGCGACCATTGATTCTGAGTGGACCGGCGCCGCCCGCGGGCCTGGAGACCGTGTGATGGTGCCGGCCGGGTCTCGAGATTCGCTGCGGATGAAGGCTCGCACTGCGGTGGAGCCGCGAGCGCCCTGAGCGCCGAGTTCCGTGATCACCGTGACCGGCCGGATGACCGTGAGCTGGGCGCGCACCGGGAACACCGACCGGCCGGCGGTCTGGAGCTCGCGCTGCGGCGACGGGTTTCTGGGTGAGGCGCGGCCGCCGGTGGCACGTGTGAAACGTCCTGCGGCGAGCGGCGACCGCCACCGTCCGTCCGGCTAACTGTGATGTAATGGCGCGGCGGGCAGTGGGTCAGCCGGACGGCCGGACAGGATCGGCCGCCGGCCGTCACAGCTCCCACGCCAAGCACGCCACCCAAATAGACTACGGCGCTGCTTTGTAGTGCGGAGAAAGCGCGCGGCATCCAAAGGCCGCCGGTAGCGGGCCGACTAATCAAATATAATTTGCGCCCATCGACGGTCTGAGCTGAGCTTTCTATAATGCTGCGGAGCTTGTTGAAGATTCTAGACTAGCACGCCGGTGACTATAAAAGTGATGTCAAGACGAAACATAACACTATTGCTATGCTGCTGGAAATGTGGCCACTTACGTTACGTTACTCGCCATATATCGCACCAATTTGTTATGACAAAGTTGAAAAGCCATCGCTTGGTTACCAGGATTTGACTCTTCATGCTGATTTGTTGAAATAGCATGCTTAACATTGAAAAAAATAGACAATAAATTTAAGCTAACGTCGGAAAACGTAACTATTGCAAGTCCATTTGCGGGCTTATTTTCAAACATATTTGTGGGGTTACTGTCATTGAGAGTTACACAAAATTTTCCGACATGGTATTATGCCTGGAACGATAAACGCACAATCAGGAGAGAAAAGCAGTTATATAACAACTACTCTGGGACTTTAAATGACCGTCATGCACCGCCATGAACATGGAACACTTTCTTTGAAATAAGAGAACAGATAGCATCGTTACATCAATTAACCCTGAGGTGTTATTAGCATAATTCAGCCGCGGCGGAGCTGCCCAGCTGGGGTATGCGTGCGCCGCCGTATTCCAAAAGCGCCGCTGATAGCTTCCTCCAGCACCTGGTCACGCGATGCCCCAGTGGAGCCCGAGGAAGACGAAAAACTCAGATGTTTGTATTCCCACGCACGGATTCTACAACTCATTGTTTAGCAGCGGTCGTAATAACACATGGGTAGCGGATGGTATCCACTGCATGAGAGGTATGTGGGAGAAGAATGCGGGCCTGGACTGTCTGTCAGTAATGGCTTCGGTGACCTACAAAGTGAAGTGTTAACTACCACCCTCGCTAATCATCTCCACCTAATGCGCCAACGCTAAAGGGAAACTCAGGTGACCACGCCTAGCGAGATAATTGCTGATAACCGTTGGAGAAACTTCTCAAGAACGAACAATATGTTCAGTTTACTAGGAAGCGTCGGGTTCCGGCCAAATTGTCTCTTCTGAAGAAATTAAGCTGATCTACACAAACACCATTCTGGACAAATTATTTCCTCACCCAATTTAAAAAGTTACTATCTTGAATATCACAGTTCAGTTATTCCTGACCAGTCGCTCCTCCTCCTCCCCAATCGGATCCTGCATGGGTCCCCTTCAGTCCCTTCATCGGCACCTCCATTGGTCCCCTGGAACCCCACGATCCCCTCGGTCTCTCCAGCGTCCCCCGTTGTACTGACCTGTTTGTAGCGCCAAGACGAGGAGCAGTGCGCCGATCACGGCTCTCGCCGTCGGCTGCCGCGCCATGGCTGGCCTTCTGCCGGCTGCACACTGCGCTGGAGCGGCTGCTGAGACCAGACGTCTATCTGAGTGGTGAGCCGGCCGGCGGCGGGGACACAGACGCGCCGACGCTCCTCCCTGGTGCGGACGGGACGCGCCTCACCCGGTGCGAGCAGGTGCACTGTCGGAGCGGCACTGGCGGCCGGCGCGCACCGCCGAGAAGACGGCTGCCACTCACCGGGCGCGGTGGCGCGCCTGCGCCGCCGCCCTGACCCACTCACCGGCCGGCCGGACCGGGCCGGGCCGGAGCCCGGAGACCGGAGCCGCCAGCTCGGCCAGTCAGCCCAGCCAGCCACCCGGCCGGACCGCCGCAGCGGCATCGGCAGTCATTGTATTCATCGCCAGCAACCAGAGATGGCAATGGACTTCTTTTCCTTAGCGTGACATGGAGATGAGTCGAGAAAGAGCAGTGATGCGGTGATATTCCCGAAGATGCGGTACATTTAGGAGTGATCGGGATATTTGATCAATTTTAGACATGAGAAATACGATACAGAAGTTGTCCATGGAACTTAAAATTTGTGCTTAGATCATGCATGTAGGTATCTCTCTTTTTTCTCTCTCTCTCTCTCTCTCTCTCTCTCTCTCTCTCTCTCTCTCTCTCTCTCTCTCTCTCTCTCTCTCTCTCTCTCTCTCGATGTCTCTTCTCTCGATGCCTCTCTTCTGTTCATTTTTTAGTCGTCGATTATGACATTTTCTACATAGACCGCCCTGACGCCATGGTGAGGGATGTCAATGTGAAAAGGTGAAGATACCAGAGCCGGCACCCGCTGTCATTGCCTTAAGTGCTTTTAGGATGAGAACGCGATCGGTGAGGAAATAGGAAATGATAGCCTGCCTGCATAGTTCCTTGTCAAATACGCCCTTCACTTGCATAATTATGCGGATATGCCATTGTTCAAACCTTGAAATACTCTCACACACATTTGCTCTCGCCTTCCACGCCCAGTCACTGGTCAGTTCCTTTTTCGGCGTGCAGAAAACTGGTTGCACTGTCATTGCATTTTAGGTTCTCGTTGAGCGGAAATTGCTTGAAAGGGAAACATCTTTTATTGGCCAATAAAGTTGAATAATTTCTTCATTTACTTGTCAAGGAAAGTTGGTAGGCTTTTCGTTTGATCCCGCAGGGCCGTAGGTACTCTTAGTGAAATCTGCGATGCACAATTTGCAGGAGCCAGGGCTACTTTGTTCTGAACATTTCATTTATGCCCCTTGAGCAGTACCCAGCAGGATGCATGACATCTAAAAAGCACCTTTTATGTTCATGCAATATAGTTCATTAGTTCATGTATGACATTAATGACAGAAGACGAAGAACCATGTACCTACTCTGGACAGCAACGTGCTATAAATACTCCATAGATCTAACAAGATAATGTTATGAATGGTTTAACGTATAATTCAAATGATCTGCCAGACGGCAACATTTGCTTCAGATTCAATCATTTGTAAGAATTTTATAAATGAATATGTGCCCTAAAATGCACAAGAAGCATAATTTAATTTGGACTTTTAGTGTATTTAGAGCACCCTCATCCATGACATGTTCACATTCAATAAGCACGCACAAACAGAACCTTCTTCGTTGCCATCGCTTTGTTAAGCAAACAATGACCGTTTGTGACTTGGTCCACATCCGTGCTATCCGCGAGCCATAATCGTATTCCTTCACCGCGACAAGCTCCGTGACTTAAAGTACAACGTCACTGTCTTCCTGCTATCATGGACTCACTTCCGCGGACGCACAGCCTCTAAATACGGTTCCGCTCGTCCCACTCAGTATTTCTGTAGATGTCAATGTCATCCCCAGCACTACATACAACCACCCTGCATCAGTTCCCATGAGTACATACACGGTCGAGATCACGTCTAGGAATCCACGACACGGCGTGAGACTCGGGCGCGTGATTCTGCACATCCGGCTGGTGACTTGTCTGACGTTGTTCTGCTCTCACTCGCGTGGTGAGGCGATGTCGCTGCTGACAGCAGACACCGCTCCCCTGTCAGAGGAGCATTGCTGGCGGTTCGCCACTGTCCACAATGACTGGGGGGTGTTCCTCGGTCCCAATATCCCCGGCGAGAATTAGAGTCTTATTGGGCTCGACGCAGTCACGATTCTACAGTCACACTGAAAGTGGTGATACCGTTCACTGGACTCACAATCGGTGAGATAACTGATCAAACAACTTGTATCTACACACAGATCACATCGTTTATCACGTAATCACCTCACTCACCTCACGAATTCGGCGTGTAACACTTCGTTCCTTCTTCTCACAGCACAAATGTACCATAGTAAGGAACACGATATCATCGCACCATGCACAAGTAGTGTGTTCTAGCGGATAGGGTCAGTCACTCTGGTAAATACCATGACCTGATTCTAATAGTGCCGGCTGGCGTTGGTTTCTTTCAGCGTTGCTTCAGACAGCCGACTGGATGAGTGCTGTGACGTTGGTCAAGCCCGGCCATGATGCACAACGGCGTCCGTATTTGTGACGAGTCACAACCAGCTGTGGCTGTAGAGACTACATCTCAGAGTTCGAGAGCAATCTATTTGATGTTGAGCTCCCTCTTTCGTTCAGCGATCATCAGCTGGAAATCGACCCTGCGGAATGAGAACATCGTGAGATGACTTCATAAATAAAGGCGTGCTCAGTGAGACTTGGTGAAAGGTTGAAAGGTCTTAGCACGAAACGTATTGTCAAATCAGACAAAAGCGTGGCTGTATCTCAGCTTGTTATGTGCAAAAAAAAAGAAGGAAAGAGCTTGCAGTAGCATGGTTGACATGATAATAGCCGTTTTCACGACGGGCTATCCGGCGAATGCACCTGACTTGACCAAATCTGCACCTAATTTCTTTTACAGCAAATATCTTAATTTTATGAATTTATTTCAGTGTTTTAATCGATGATGCTCTCTGATAATATGACAAAGCAGGCATTATAAGCAATTAGTGCAACCCTAGCTGATAGCTGCTAAGAGACACACTGAACCTGATTTGACCAAATCTGCACCTAATCTGTACCAGATGTGCACCAAATGTGTACCAGATGGCCGTCGTGAAAACGGCTAATGCCTGGCTTGAAGCACCTAACTTTGTACATACCTAATAATCCGTGCGTATTTATTATATTTTGCGTAAATATTTTATATAAGCCGGTGTTACACCACAAATAACAAAATTTACCCAAAGAGACACCTTTGCTATGTGCCGGCCAGCAGTTATGCATTCATGCCAAAAGACTCCGCACCAGCATAAGCAGCGTACTTACTGTTTGACTTCCTCCGGTATCATGACGTGGTTCATCGGGATCAGATCGCTGAGCTCCCTCAGTCCGTCCACGTAACGCAGCTTACGGCTGAACTTGGAGCTGAAACAAAACGGCACGCACTTCAAAACAACGTCCAGCAAGTTTACTTTCAGGTTACCGTGAAAATAAGATGTCAGAGGTCCAGTACAGTAGGTCTATTAAAAAAGTCCCCAGCACCAGTGGGCGCTGCATTCGCTGAGCCGAACCCCCGTCTGCCTGTCCCATATCGCGCCGGGCTCAGGTCAGGTAGGGTCAGCGGGACCGCTCGGTCCGGCCCGCGGGCGGTGGACGGGCGGCCGGTAACGCTTTCCGTCAGCCAGCTGTAGAATCCAACAAACGGGACGGCCACCGCTCAGCGCAACGAAACCGGTGTTAAAGAATGGCAGTAGATGTTCATGGCCACATTGATTATGAGATAGTCATTGATAGCCCGTGCCCCACAGGAATGCCTAGACTCTCACGCCCTGTTGGAGGGGAAATGGGGATTGAGCATCATTCTTTTAACTCAGCTTTGGGCATTTAAGTGGTATTCGAAGTAGCGTCAAAAGAAGCAAAAAGAAAAAAAAAATACTTCAGCCAATTTTGGATCGGGTCACAGCCAGAGGTCATGTCACTAGAGGTCATCGATGGTAAAATTTTGCTTAGACAGGGTGCGTTGCGCGCACTGGTTCATTGGGTTTCCAATTTCCATGGAAACATCAACAGACTCGGAAGCTCGCAACGCTAGCGTGGAGCCGAATTCATATCAACCGCCGCAACAATGCAGCAGCGCAGTGCAACGTGCTGCAGCGCGGGGCCGTGAAACACCGCCCAGGGCTATCCATGTGTCAGGGCAATCCAAACTACGTCATGGGCTCGGCCCCAGCGGAGCATGAGGTCCAGGACTCCCGCCCAGGCCCCCTGTCTCCCCCTAATTCCTATCATCCTTCCCACTCTGAAATCGATCGAAAGAGCCTAACCTAACACAAAAATCAGCTCGCTTACGGCTATGTCTGAATAATATTGTCAGATTTAATTAAGGTTAACGGCTTAGCATGTAAATAACAACAACTGCCACCATCGGTATTATGAGAAAACCAATTGCCTTTCCACAAATACTTAAAAGTTTTTAGCTTAAAACTTGCATGAAATTAATTTTACCAGCCTCGTGTTCCTCTTATCAAAACGCTTCGAATGAATCAAAAGTTGATCTTTAAAGGTCATTTGAAAAATTTGGCCTATGTTCAAAGACATGACCTAACCAGAAATGGTCATAATGCATAGCAGGATATTAGATTCAGATTCAGATTCAGATTCTTTATTTACGACAATCCATAAAGCATGGGTTTTCATTGCCACTCGTCATCTTGATAAAATAAGAATGATATAGGCTTATAGGCAGTATTGACAGGCCAAGATCCACTTACTCTACCCACAACCATTTTGCTCTCTCAAGAGATGCCGTCGCAGGTAGCGCCTAAAGCCTCTCGCGTCGACACGGAACGGCAGACGATCGTAGTCTCTGACAGCGTCATAGCACAGGCGTCGACGTCCCGCCTCAGTGCGTATCCTGGGCATATCCTTATCCATCCGTATCCTGGGTATCCTTAGATCCGTATCGTGGAACTTTATTAACTCTTCAGATGATTTCATAACTTAAGCATGTCTATCAAAAATAATTATTACATGGCTCATATGTAAGCTGGGTGTGTGAACATGCTTACGAGTATGTTGAACGCAACTGGTAATGTTCTGTTGGCCACAATTTTTATATTTAATTTATCTCCCGGATTTCATATTTTTGTTAATGACCCCTTGACGATGTCGAGAAAAAACGCTTAGGAGATTTAACAGCTTGAGATACATTCAGTATAAGGAAGGTT